CTATGTAACTGAACTGAAATTGGCTGATTTTGGTTTGGCCTGTGAGGTGACCGAACCATTGTTTGCTGTTTGCGGCACGCCAACTTATGTTGCACCAGAAATCCTAATGGAAACAGGTTACGGTCTGAAGGTAAATATCAAACACTCTTTTTCAATATATTTATGTAATTTTTTTATTATTATTTCAATACAAACATTATCTTTATTATCTTTGCTTTGCAGATCGATGTGTGGGCTGCTGGTATAATACTTTACATCTTGCTTTGTGGCTTTCCACCATTCGTTTCGCCCGATAATCAACAAGAACCGCTATTCGATGCCATTATATCCGGTGTATATGAATTCCCCGAACCTTACTGGTCAGACATAGGTGATGGTGTACGCGATCTCATTGCTAACATGCTGCAATCCGATCCCGAAGTACGTTTCACCAGCGAGGATATATTGGATCACTACTGGACACTGGGTGAATGTAATGATTATAGCAGTTGAATTTACTGCCTAAATGCGTTGGAATAGCGGGTGGGAAAACGTTGCAAACAACAAAAACAACAAAGTTATGATCACATTTTAGGTCTATAGCTAGTTGAGGAAGCTGCTTGTTTGTCGATGTAAACATATATAAATATATACATACATATAGGTTTAGTTTCGGGGGACGTAGTTTTAGTATTATGTATTTAATTGCTTATTAAAAATTATAATTAACGAAACTTTATTTATATGCGAGGAAAAATTAAAAATGCGACAATGCAAAGATGATACAATGTTAACAACTAAAAGAAGTAACGAAAAGAGCAAAACAAACGAAATTATTGAGAGTTTTATAGGCGTTAAAAATTATTGTGGCAAATCTTTTAGATACGCCACACAGTAATTAACAGCGACTTAACTAAATACATTAATTATACATACAAACACACACATAAAACACGAACTTACATACATATGTACACATATGCGCATATATGTATGCCTAAGTATTTTATTAAACTAATTTTTGCATAATTTATGAGCAAACTTAAAGCACATTTACGAGGTAGCAAAATTGTTTACGTGCGAGAAATAATTAAAAAGGTGCCCTAATATTATATAAAAATCCCCGTCGCCTGCGCATAAGAAAGTCAGTGGAAATATCACTGTATATGCAAAATTGTACGAATTCAAAGAGAAACAAAGCGAAATGCTGACGAAAAAAAACACCAACTTATTCGTGTATATTTTTTATATAAATATTTTGTACGTAAATTTTAATTGGTTTTTATTGTAAGAGACATCAACATTTACTATCTGTCCCAGGCTGATATTTTTACACAGCTCTATCTATTTTATCCACTTTGTGTATTATTTTTTACCTACATATATTAAAATGTTTACTGTTAGTGCTACTGCGATAAGAGTTAGTTGTATTATATTTTTATGTCTTTTCTGTTGTTATATATTTTAATTTTCCTTTTAAATGCAAAAAAATATGTCCCTTAAAATGCTATTTAACTACTGATTAGAGTTTTGTATGCATATATACTTATTAAATAGGAATTATGAAATAATAATTTAAAAGATAAGATTGTATTATTTTATACCATAAATTTTAAAGTTTTTGTTTTTCACAACTTCGCAGCTACAGCACTGCTGCTTTGAAGGTTTGGTTAACGATTTTTTGTGAATTATACCGAAGTGTATAAATTAGTGATTTATTGAAAAAAATAAAATTAAAAAAAAATATACATTTTTAAACATATAAATATTTATCAGCTGTTTACATAACCTTCCATTCGTTTTTAATTGTTCATCAGTATATGTGCATTGTATGTTACCTATTCCATGCCGTAATTTAAAATAAAAGGTTTCATTCCTTTTTTTTAAACTAACCGCACTTAACAAATATCTTTGTAAAGTTGTAAAAGTTCAGTTATCGACCTTTAAGAATTATCGGCATAACTTCTTGGTTAGTGGTAAAAGAAGGTTGAGACGTCAAGCTAAACATTAATCGATGCTGTTAACATTAATCAGTATAGTTTAAAATTTTGAACCGTTATTTTAATACCGTGTAACTACTTTTATAATCTACTTTTTATCCGAAATATTTGTATATCCACAAAATTCAATCGAAACAATTAATGTTAAGTAACAGATAATAAAAATCATTGGTCACAATTAACATTTTTAGTAGTGTCACACAAAAAGTACATTTTCCTTATATCATCATACATATATGAGTGCATATTGTACATGGCTACTTCATACAATTAAGTAGTGCACACATTTCTTTTAATTAGCATTTCAAAAACAAAAAAAGAAACAACACAGTAGCGAAAAATAAAATATAAATAGCAACTAAAACTAAAAAACATAATACATATTTATAAACGTTTATTGTATTTTGAAAAATGAAATTTTACATATACATACATACACATAGAATGTATACAGCGCTACGTAAGAATAAAAAATTTAACGAAGCAAAGTTATTAGAAAGTGCTAAAAAACTATTTAAATCAAAAATAAAGGAATAAACAAAAATAAAAAAATCGTGTTTTTTTTACATACAAACTAACTGTAGGTCAGGGTATATAATTTTTGAAATCCAAATGATTTCGTAGTAGGATAAAATCCATTGGAAAAAAGGTAAAACAACAGAAATTAATGGAAAATAATAATCCGATCTGAGGTCGGCAAGAGGAAATTAGTGCTGACTGTTAAAAACAACTTAAAACTCACCAAAATCTGCGTTTAAGACAATTTTTACTTTATCAGCAAATTCTAACATTTTTTTTTAATAAGTTCAAAATCCTTTTGGGCAGAAATCTCGAATACCTCAACCAAATTACATACCCAAGGTATAATGAGAATTGTGAAAAATCCCCTAAAAAGGGCGGAATCCGAAAAATGCAACATTGTATCTTCTTTCTTAAACAGCTGATTAATTTAGTAATTGGATGTAAATTTTGTTTTGATCCAGCAAATAAGAATTTTTGTAGTTTTATAATTAAAATTAACTGGAAGGTACATTAAATGGTGCAAAAATCGATACCATACTATTTTCTATAATCACAAAAGCGTTTCGCTAAAATTCTTTTTTTTTAACTTCGCTATGGCAGAACAGGAAGCTGTTAATAATAGTGTAAGCGAAAAAATGGAATAATTTCAATTATAAAGCAATTCACATTAAAAATAATAATTTTTAGGATACAGAAACAGAAAGCACTGAGGATGAAATTGAGCCTAAGTTTAAATACCAACGCATTGCCAATGACCTGAGAAAAGTTTTAAACTCCGACGTTGTCACCTGTAGTGCGGTGCACCCAAAGGTTTGACCAATAAGATAAATTGTAATCATATCAACTAATGGTTACGACAACTTTTCTTATAGTTTTTGATATTTGGTACTTTTTTGGGGCGTGTCTATATATTTGATCATCAAGGCAATTCGGTAACATCACATCTTTCGGATGGTCCGAATGATTTTTCACATACTGTTGCAGTCAATCATATTGATGTAGATGCAAAAGCAGAATATGTAGCTACCTGCTCGGATGACGGAAAGGTTGTGTAAAACATTTTTCAATTTGTTTTACAAATATTTTTACAATATTACGTACACACATATTGTAGGTTAATATTACTGGTTTATTTAGCGACGAAAACAATCAAAATCTAAACCTTGGGAAATCGATAAAAGCTGTGGCTCTCGATCCAGATCCCAAGGCAGTACCTGGTAAAAGATTTGTCGTTGGTAAGAAGAACTTATACAGCAAATAGCTAGCGAGTATAAAGTGTCAAATACTTTTATGACTTGCTCTAGGTGACGATAAGCTCACGTTATATGAAAGAAATTTTTTGAAAAAATTAAAAACAACCGTGTTATCCAGCGCCGAAGGTTATGTATTATCTATTTGCTGGAATGATTCCTTTGTCGCTTGGGCAAGCTATCTAGGTGTGCGTGTCTATGATCTGAATGAAAAATGCTCACTTGGTCTCATGAAATGGGAAGAGCCTGTCAAGTATAATATTTAAATCTTACTTTGCGTGATTAATTTACCTTTTATCATTAATTTTAGCGCACGTTTAGAGAATTTTCGTTGCAATTTTCGTTGGTCGAACGCTACTACATTGCTGATTGGTTGGGTCGATACAATACGAATTTGTGTTATACGTAAACGAAATTCAATAGAAGTGGCTTCCAGAGACTTACCCGGCTGTATAGTTGATCCAAGTAAGAAACTTATATTGCATAATTATATGAAAAATAATTTATTTTAATTATTTCAGTATCAACATTTCAAACCTCATTTTATATATCTGGCCTAGCACCACTCACCTCCAATCAATTGGTTGTGCTGGGCTGTCCAAAAGAGAAAGATGCAGAACGAAAGTCGTTACGGCCCGTATTATGTGTTATGGAATATAAATTAAATAGTAGTGAAGAAATTTGCACCGATAGTCTCTCATTGCGTGGGTGAGCATTTAAATTAGAATTCTCACTCTAAATAAAAAATAATAATATGAAAATTATTATTAATTCCAGCTATCAAGAATATATCGTCAATGATTATAGTTTAGGCTGTATTATAGAAGAAAACCGCTACTTCATTGTTGCACCAAAGGATATAGTCGTTGCCAGTTTATACGAAACGGATGATAGAGTTAAATGGCTAGTTGATCATCGGTAAGTTTTATCTCAAATACCTAGCAGTATTACAACAAAGGATAGTATACCTACACATCCAATTGATATACAATATTTCAATGTTATTAAACCCTTAATAATAATATAGATCATATATATTTGATCAGTGTGGTGAGCTCCGTCTCATGTAAACAAACTTACTTTTTAGTACATATATCAATCTAAAGTTTTGCACACGTTCTATTCTCCCCAAGAAGTTGCTCATTTGTTGAAATCGGCGATATCCCTACAAACTGATCGATCAAAATCAAGTTCTTGTATGAAAAACATGTTTATTCTTTTTCTTGTTATATTTTATACAAAACACCAGTTTACTCGGTTAAGCTTATTCTATTTTTTATTTGTATTTATTTTTCTTTCTTTATTAAGTATTCACTAGATACACGAATTTTCTAAATACTACCTACTGCGCGTTTTATGCTCATATCCGCTTGCATATATACATAAATAAGATGTGCAAAATATTATTCGCTGCTATTGTATGCTGCATTTTGTGCTTACGAGTTTATTTGACATATGTATCACAGCATTTATCAGCCGATTTCGTCCAATCATAAAAATATGGCTTTAAAGATGTACTCTGTTCATTGTCTTTTTCTTCCTCTTTGTCACCTCTAACACAAATGCTACCATTATCAATTTGCTGCATTTCTTCTTCATTAAGTTTGTGTAATACAATGTGATAGCGTCGACATTTACGTGGTTTATATTGGGTATCGAAACGTGGGTCATGTCGTCGATACACATCTCGAAACGGTGCCACCCACAAACCCATCGAAATATCCTCATTTGTGTAGGCGGAAAGGTATTGTGCATTTGCTGAAATATGTTCACAGATTTTTCGTGAAATTACATAACCGCCACCCAAGGCATATGTTATATAATGTGTTGATAAATGGTAATTTAAATCACGCCACTTCCCCTTTGTCTTTACATTGGCTCTGCCAAGGAAGTACCCCCAATATAGTGCTGGCGGCGGTTGTCCTTCGTATTCTTGCGTTTTACGCACCAATTTACGATCATACGATATCAGTTCATTAAGCAAAATGTCCAACTTCACGTATGTATCGTCGTCTGTTTTAAGTAGATAACTATATTCGTAGTGATGTGTTAGCGCTTCTATAGAATGCAACATCTTTTCCGTTAAATTTTCAAAGTTATCCTTTAAGCGCGGCAAAAGCAACATATCACCATAAAGTTTCTGTTCACGATCCAATTCTGCGCGTAAACCAGCCGGCATATCCGCCGTGCCAATAGCAAAGAAATGTTTCACTTTAATAATTCTGCGCGTTGATTCAGGATTATTCAGATTGTTATCGTACCAATGCAGATACGCGGCCAAACGATTCGATTGATCGGACACGGTCTCCATTTGTAAATGACCACTCTCGTCATATTTGGGCATGTAAACTAAATTTTCCGGGTAGTAAGTCATATCCAATGGCTGTCCGAGTCGCAACCAAGTTTGACGCATTGTTAGTCGACGATTAACATTTTTCGGCGCTGTTATAACTAATATCATAAGGAAAATATCCGGATGTGGGTCAATTTGGCTAACACCGCTTTTATGTATCAAGCATTTTTCAGCGTTATTCAACATATTACTCAAAAAGCAGCCGAAGAAAAAAGCTGCCATTGCGGTAAAGAGTGTTATTAAATTATTCATACGCCTCATTTTGTGTGTATGAACAGTGCTGGAAGTCTTGAATTCACGCTCTGTCTGGCGTGTTTGAAGCGAACGTGCAGTTGGACGAATAATTTTGAAGCTTTTAGTGCAACTGTAGTTAGTAAAAGTCAATTAAACTATACTCGACCTGTGCCCGGGTGCTTGGTTCTCGAATTCATGTGTTAGTGTGTGTGTGTGCTGTAGTAATTTTTTCACTCAACCTTACATGTTGCCTACAAATTGCATTTATTGAAATTATTCAACTGAAAAATATAAAACTTTAATCCATAAAAAAAGTTTATATTATATATTACTACATACCGATACAGAAAAATATTAAATATGTGTTTACAATACGCGCTGCGCCAAAATCTGCTCGCTACCGATTTTTCCATTTGTTTTATTGACAAAAGTAAATATAGTGTTGCCATATCGATGGTTTTTATGTATTTATGTACAAAATTTTACTTCCGCTGTAGATTTCTGTAAAAGGCGCAACATTGCTAAAGGAAATGGAAACAACGCATATCAATAACAATAATATATTTACTATTTCAATGTTTTCTCTTACATTATAGAAAATTCGAGGAAGCTATGGAAGTGATATCTACACATGGCGGCAGTTGGTCGTTGCTATCAGTGGCCAAGTATATACACATGCAGATTTTCTTTTAATTTCAATTGTTCATTTTAAAAACATTTTTTAATGAACCCAATAGGTTATATATAAATCATTTATTGACGTTGAATCAGTTCGACGATGCTGCAAAGTTGTGTTTGCGTGTATTGGGCAATAAAAAATCGTTATGGGAAGAGGAAGTATTTAAATTTTTTGAACGTCATCAGTTACGTTCGGTTAGCGCTTATCTACCTACCTCCGATGACTGTAAACTTGATCCGCATATTTACGAGTTGGTATTATATGAATATTTGAAGCATGATGCCAAGGGATTTTTGAATCTTATTAAAGAATGGCCATCAAACTTATACGATTGCGCGGCAGTCATTAACGCAATACACGACAATTTCCGTAAGCAAAATGCAAATGAATTGTTGGAAGCATTGGCCATACTCTATTTGCATCAGCGCGACTACGAGAGTGCATTGCGAATGTATTTGAAGTAAGTTGACAATTGAAGGTTTTTACACCATAAAAAATTAATTATACATTACTTTTAATTGCAGGCTACAAAATGAAGATGTTTTTGAAATGATACGTCGTTATGATCTTTATGATGCAATACACAAAATGATTATACCACTTATACAGCTGAATCGGGAGCGTGCCTTTAAAGTTTTATTCGAAAAGAATAAAATTTCACCGGAAATTGTTGTGCAGCAATTGGAGCAAAATCAAGAGTATTTGTATTGGGTGAGATTGTGTGTTACATTTCAGAAAAAAAAAAAAAAGAAAAAAAAAAAAAATTACTACATTCAAATTATTTCTCTAGTATTTGGATGCTTTAGACAAGGTGGATAAAAGCGGTAAATACCATTGGAAATTGGTAAATCTCTATGCAAAATACGAGCCGGAAAAATTATTACCATTTCTAAAACGTTCCAATCACTATCCAATGCAAGAAGCTTTGGATGTTTGCAAACGCGAATTATTCTATCCTGAGATGGTATACTTGTTGGGTCAAATGGGCAATACTATAGAGGCCTTAAACATAATTATTGAAAAGGTAATTAATCGGACATACATACGTCTTACAAGTTATATACAATGGTTAGCATAACGCTTGCAGATCCAAGATATTGAAATGGCTATTGAGTTTTGTAAAGAGCACAATGATTCGGATTTATGGAATATATTGATAGATGAGTCAGTTAAAGAGCCTAGCATTGTACTGAAGCTTTTGAGTGGCATAGTTGGTATGTACATTTAATGTAAAAATTTACACATGAATAATCGTTAATAATTTTTGTTAGACTACGTCGATCCGGTTGCTGTTGTTGAGAAAATCAAACTTGGTCAAAATATTCCCGGCTTGCGCGACGCCGTCGTTAAACTTTTATGGGACTATCGTTTGCAGGTATGTGTACCAAGTTACTACCCTAACTAATTTTTGCATATGACTAAAACAGTTTCTTTTTTTAGGTTAAAATTCGCAAGAGTGCACAAAAAATGCAATGGGAGTTTTATTATGAGCGTCATGCCAGAGTCGTGAAAAGACAAAATCGTGGACGTTACATTCCCTCGTCAGAGCGTTGTTTGAAATGTAATCGTCCTCTTATTAGCATGAATGAGCATATTCCACCCATTAATGATGTTGTCGCATTCCTATGTGGTCATGTGTACCATACAAATTGTGTGCCTGGTGGCCCTGACAATGAGCACTGCGAACTTTGTAATCCTAGTGACTTTAACAAAGAAGAGGGCTTTGCACTGCTTTTAGAGTAGAACACTTTCACAAAAAAAAATTTTCAAAGCCATTGTGTTGATAATTAAGCGAAAACACCAATAGAGCTGAATTTATTTAAAAAGACTACGACTATGATAAATAATTAACAAATAATACTATTTTTTAACGCAATAACCGAAAGAGAACCTTCCTACCTACTGTATTTAAGCCAAAAAGTGTAAATTTTGCACATTGTATTATATTCTTTCTGCAACTGACCTATACATCTTTATTTTTGTCAACAACACTGCAATGGAGCATACATATTGTATATATACGCAATTTTTCGTTATTATTCCTACGAATTATTTTTTTAAATAAAGCTTTTTATATGCAATTTTTTACTATTTATTGTTCAAACTATATTTTAGTCATATTGGGTTTTTTGTAGCAGCAGAAAACATTTCCAAAGTAGTTAGGAGAAATGCTGCCGATTTGAGAGTCCATAGTCAGATAAACACCCAATTACGTGGACCCATCTCTTTGTGACAGCATTTTAGACACTTACACCCATCATATACTCAATTGGTGAATTTTCTAACCTACCATGGCTTCAATTAAATAACACAAGTAAATTTTACTGTAAATAAAAGCCTATATTATTATCATAATAATAATAGAATTTTAGAGAAAATTATTTTCCAATTTTTTTTCCCACAAATCCGCTAAAACTTATTTAAGCTTCAGACTCGGACTTCAGCTTGGCAATGTAGGCAGCCTTGTGTTCAGCAACCTTAACCTTACGCTGTTCATTTGTGAGTTTCTTAGCATTCCACCGTTTCTTGACAACACCGCTCTTCTGGTCCTTCTTCTTGTGGGTAGGGTCAGAGCGAATAGCTTGGTGGGCTTTTTTGTAGATAGTTTCAAGCTGTAAAATAAAAATTATATTATTTTAACGTCGCTCAACATAAGCACAAAAACTAAAATTATGTATAATATGTAAACAATGTACGACCATAACAGGAAATGTATCATATTGAGATGACAGACTTCGAACATAGGTCCCTAACATTTAATGTGGTCCACTTTTGGCACAGCCAGCGTCGTGGGTAACAAGACACAGCGGTAATTTTGAAAATGGACGTACATGTTACTCTACAACCGTATAAAGCACACCGATACTCACATCGTCAGCACGGATTCCCAATTTGATGTAACGGCTGAATTGGCGTTTGAAGCTCTCTTCATCGTTTTCTTCAAGAGTGCGCATGTAATCGGCAACATGTTGACCGAAAATGTGTGCACGATGTACATCAGCGTTGAAGTTCTTAGCCTCAGCATTGTAGCCGGGGAAACGCTTCACGGAGTGAGGGATGTTCAAACCACCATCGACAGCACCCTTCATGGCACCGAACACACGAGCACCAGTGGTTGTACGTGCAAGACCAACATCCAAGTAGCAACGGAAAGCGCCTGGACCATCATCGACAGGTTCAACATTGTATTCCTCACCTGTTACCTCAGTGCAACCACCATAAAGGGTATCCAGACCCAATTTGTTGAGAATGCGACGAGCAACCAACAAACCAGTACAGTAAGCTGCAGCATAGTTGGTCAAACCGACCTGTAACATAAAACAAAAGTGTTAATGAAATCTCTCATATCAACAATTGCACATAACCTCATTTTCGCCGTTTTCAATTAAACGGAGAATAAAAAACATGCTTTCAATTGCTTACCTTAACGCCATAGTTGGGCAACTCGTGGGAGTATGCAGCGCACACAACACGATCTCCTTCAATTCTGGCATAGGCGATTTGTACGGTGATATCCTTGTTGGACAGACGTACAATCAAACGGTATTTGGGTGTGTTGTACTTATTCTTGTCTTGGAAGATCAAACGTTTTCTGGCATAGTAATCAGTTTTACCCTCGCGACGCCTGCGGAATTTGACTTGGTACCGCTTGAAGTACTGCTTATTCTTGACTACTTTAACGAAACCCTGCAAATTTATAAAGCGTCTGATTAACCATACATTCATATACGGTTCATGGTAAGATTCTCAATCAATGATTTTCAAAAACATCTCCACAATTTTTTACAAAATTTCACTTAATTTTAGTTCACTGATATATCACGGCAGTATCTTTTGCAGAATTTTTATTTATTAACTCACCATTTTTAGAAAATTGAATATTTAATTTACACCGACGTGATATACGCGATGTCTTCACACGTAGGTGAAAGAAAAAAGAAGGGAGGAAAGAAAAACGAAAGAGATGACAATATAACTAATTATTTTGACAGACGGAAGCAAAAAAGAAATACTAAACTCATCCAACTTCATTGCATTTCGGCAGGGTTATAATTATATTGAAACCGGTAATAAATAAATGCCTTTAATTTTTTATGAACATCGTTTGTTAAAAAAATAAGCTCTTTATTAATTTATAAAAACATAATTTATGCAATTGTTTAATTATGTATTCAATTCTAAAACTTTTGGATTTAAAATTTTAGTTAACAAAATTGGTCTACTTTGCTAACAGCTGTTTCAACGAGTCTCGAACACATAGTCAACAAACATTTTACAAATGTCAATTCGAAGTACATGTAAAGTTGTCAAATTGTGTATGTGGAAAGTTTTAAAATCCAATTGTGTACCGATAAATTATAATGAAAAAATATTAAATAAAAGTAGATGTATCAAGAAAAAGTTAACCTAGAAGAAATAAGAATTAAATAATTGTGCGTAGGCTATTGAGTGAGCGTTACCGGCAAATCTGAAGTGATGGGCAATGATACCAGCCGTCTAAAGGGATTAGTGATTGATAAGAGTTCTGTGGAAGCAAACGACTTTTGGACACTATACAATGCGGAATCACCAACAACATCAAATGAAGATGGACGACAACTGCTTTCCATATTTCAAGGTGAAGCCGTAGTAAATGGACAATTATGGGTAATACAGGTGCCATTGGAACGAGCTATAAAGGTAAAACAACAATAATAAAAATGTAAACTTTATAATCATTAAACTGCATTTCCAATTAGAATTTGAAGATATATCGACATCCATATATATTAAAATATGTTACTACTTGGGAACAAGGGGGCCAAAAGCACTTAGCTACAGAGAGAGTACGCCCCTTAACTATGGTATTATCCACACAAAGCAATTTACAAGTTTGCCTTGGATTACGGACAATTCTCTGTAGTTTGATTTTCTTGGTGGAGAAGGTGAGCTGATTTTTGTGCTTATTGGAATTTCATTTACAAAGCGATAACGTTATCACTATGAAAACAACACAAAAATTCGAATACAAATTTCTTGCCAAGCTATTCTGTTTATTGTTTTCAACTTAATTACTAGAAATATATAATATAGATCGTAGCTTTCTACGTGTTTTTTATTCAAAAATTTATTTTTAAAAATTCCATAGGCTTTGGGACGCCACCTCAACATATGCATCTCATCAATTTATGTCACTGACGATGGTAGCTGGCGGTTAGCTGGCTTTGAATATGTATGGAAGCATAAAGAGATTACAAAATCATTATTAGATTTAGTGAAAACATATCGCTATGCTGCTGCAGTAGATGCCAATGAATATAAAGACAATAGCAGCGATGCTATTGAACAGTTTGCCTTTGCAACACTATGTGAAGAAGTATTGAATAAATGCAGCAAGAAGGAGTCCACTGAGACACCACATGCGCAAGAGTTTCGTAATTATTGCGCCACCCACCTAAAACACAGTAATGTTCAACTGCGGCCGCAACTCTCGGCAGTGCTATTGCATCCATATTTCAATCACGAATTCGTGCTTATACATTCCTTCCTATTCGAACTGCCTTTAAAGGGTATCCAAGAGAAACAGGATTTTTTCACTGGACTTATCGATCGCTTACGCTATTTCAATGAAGAAGTTGTGGGCGCTCAACTAGCTGCAGATCTACTCTCACGTATGGTTCTACTTGATCCCACAGCACAGTTGTGCGTTACACCGTATGTGTTGAAAACGAAAGTTGACCACTCGGCGGCATTGTTTTCCAATCACACATACCAACGTCACATCATGCCACATATAAAGAAAATGTTTCGACTCCGCGATGCGCAAATACGTTTAATATTACTCGAGTATTTTATGGAATTTGTACGTTTACTTTCAAAAGATGAACTGCTTGAATGCATACTACCTTATTTGTTAGAAGGTATGAATGACACGAACGATGTGTTAGTTGCGAAAACATTACGTTGTATGGCTGATTTAGTACCCATACTTGGTGCGACCACGGTAATTGGGGGGAATCGTACACGCATCTTCTCCGATGGTCGTCCACAAGCAGCCGTTTCCGATGCCACAACACATTGGGTGGAACCTCGTTCGATTACGCCTGTGCTGGGTAACAACATAGACTACATGGTATCGGATAGTCCATTGCCGGATCACGTGGATTTAAGTAGCAGTTTTACTTCACTGCCGCAGGTCGAATTGAGTGAGCACTTAGATATGCCAGCGCGCTTAAGTCCAGATGGTGGTGAAGATAATAAAAGTGTTGTTATTGCCGACGGTGCAATCGGTTTGCTATCTCAACCACAAACAGATAATCTGGCTAATACTAACGAAATGATACAGGAGCTAGAAATTCTAGTAAATGCTGATCCAGCGGGTTTAATTAATCAAAGTGTTAATGAAATTATAAATAATAACATGGATATATGTCTTAACGAACCAACCACGAACACAGCTTATTTTGAAAAATCAGCAATTAATGGCTTTCACAACCGAAACGTTGATGAAAATAGCGATGAGGGCGAAATTGAAGAGTGGTCCGATTGGGAAACCGATGAACTTCAAAAGTTGAACACAACCACAGAGGCTGACTCCTCGCCTTCTGCGAATGCAATGCCATTACCTTCGCAAACACTTTCGACCACACTGCCTTTGAATATTGTTGAAGATGCAGCGTTGCAAGAGAAATCCAAAGTTGCCAGCGAAATCACAAGGGATAATAAATTAGAGGTAACGGACATATCAAACTTAAATTATTACAACAACTTTTATATATTTATTTAATACAGCCAAGTAGCAAAGAAGCGCGAAAACTGAAAATCAACGACGATCTCAACGCCTTTGACATCATTGTGCAAAAGACAGCGTTAACCACAAATGAGGAGAGCGCTGAGTTCGACTTCTTTAAAGACATGGAACCCGTTATTGAGCCAAGAAGCAGAAAAACAAGGGACACAGGAATTTCAACCGCAAATTCAATTACGAATACAACGAACTTGCCAAATAAAAATGAAAATGAAGTTATAGTGATCGATAGTAGTCGCTTCGCTGCAGCGGCAATCAATGCAGATGACACAGCTGCCACTGGTGATGGCTGGGGTATGGACGATGATGATGTGGCGGATGTGTGGACGGAATAGTATGAATATATTGCAGTGTAGTAAATGTAAACGTTAAGTCACTGCCGTATGTCGGCAGTTTACAACAAAGTTATAAATTTCAACACAACTTGTTAAAATTGTTCATATGTTACTTTTGTATTTAGATCAAATATTAATGCGTCTGTATAAAAAAGTGCACCGATATAATTTGTCAGTTTAACATAATTCGTTTTGGTGGTATTGCCACAAACCGATTTTATTGAAATTTGTAATATTTGAAATTTTACGGGAAAGATAAAGATATATGTACATCCACCCATAAAACAACGTTGTAGATACCTCCATTTTAGCGCAGTAAAGTGATTCAAAACAAAAAAATTATGAATTTGAATAATATTAATATTATATATATTAATAATATTAACAGTGACAGTAAATTGGTATTTTACCCTGACATAAAAAAATGTGTTTTATCTCAACCGGAAATCGTATCAGAAAAAATTTATATTCTAATTTAATTTCAATTTAAGTGCTCATATATCAGGGTTGCAAATAATGCATTAAAAATAATTTAATTAATTGATTTTTGCTCTCATTATGTCAACTTAAAATTCATATTTAAATTTTTAATACCAAATACCGGATTGAAAAAACGCAAATTTGGTATGTAATAATAAGAACAAAAAACATATTTAATAAATTTTTTCTTTTATTATGTCATGTCAAAAATCTTACTTAAAAATATTTTTTAACTCTTAATCCCAAAAACCGAATTGAAAAAGCAAATGTAATACCAAATACCATATTTAAAAACAAAAACATTTTCTTTCATTATGTGATCTCAAAGATCTTACTTAAAAATATTTTTTTAACTTTTAATCCCAAGTACCGAATTGAAAAAAGCTAATGTAATACCGAATACCGTATTGAAAAATTACAAAAATTTAATCCTAAATACAGGATTGTAAGAAATGTTAATCCTAAAAAAACGGGTTTATTTAATATTAATTTTTTTATCCCAAAATTTTGGATTGAGCTACAAAAATAAAATTTGATCCAAGCATATAATAAAAAACAATGCTTTAGAATTGGCATTTTTTCGCTTTGCGCACTTCGTGTTCTCTACCATACATATTATTTTATCAATCTTTAATTCTGATTTTGGTATTAAAAATCAAATGTTAATCCATTTCTAAATAAAAAAAAATGTATCTATTTATATGTACCTCGAACGTGCATAAATTTGAGAATATACTCCGAATTAAGTTTAATCGGCTTCCAAAACTTATTTTTCTTTTCATAGTCGATGAGGAAAATTTCATTTTTTTTTTTTTTGGTTTTTGGATTTGCAATTAGTTTAAGCAGAATAATATTCCCCACCGCTAGACATCTTTTTCTTTTAAATCGCCGCAAATTGATTTAAATTAACTTTTGTAAATGTATACCATATTTAAGATGTTTAGTAAAACACTTCTTAATTTTCTTTTTTCTCTCAAATAGTTTAGTATATTTCATAAATGTGATAAYTTTAAATAATTTGTAATTGTTTGTATGTTTTAGTTTTCTAAAAATTTTACATGTTGCGCATTTATTTATTTTCATTATACATACATATGTATGTACTTGTGTGATCTTTGCTATAATCGATTTCCAAAAATTTTATGAAGACTTTTTAGACATTAGCTAAACGCTTTATACATATGTTGCACTACGGTTTTTATTTTTTATTTTACCACTTTTTATTTTTGTAATTAATTTTATGTAAGTTTTCGGTTCTCATGTTAAAAATTTGTTTTTTTTTTTTTATTTTATTTTTTTATGTCATTTATGCGCTACTACAAAATTAATGCAGTGTATTGACACGAAAAATATTGTCATGCGCCTACGACGTTATTAAATAGCAGCATTCAATGCGCATAGATTTTTACGTGATCGAATTATGCGTTTGGTACACTGCCTGCTAAAAAAATTTACATATACACATACATATTTGTAATTTTTTTCTTTTCAATTTAAGTCGTTTAAATTGTCTATGTTTATATATGCACGTGTATGCATATAATAATTTAATACTTTATAATAAAACTGCTTATATTGCCGCGCATGCGCACAGTGTGACCAAATGCTCAAAAACAATGCATCTGTAAGGAGTGAGTTGCCAGCAACAGTCTCAATCAATGATTTTTTGTTTTTAAATTACTAATGATTTTTTGCTAGTTGCAAATTTTATGCGATATCATAACGTCCATTTGGTTGTGTATACGTGTGTAGCGGCGCATGTGCTTACGTGGGCATTTTTCCTAAATCTAAATCAGCAGCAAATTGTCAGGTGCCCGTGTATAATAAATACGAGTTGATTTTTCCGTGGAATGTAAATGTTTTCATGCAAAACTTTTAATTTATTAAACAATGTCAGTATCTATGTATGAAATTTATCAGATTTCTTTCTTTTTCGCGCAATAAATTTTATAAATATTTATTTTGTATATGCGAATTTTCTTATTTGGAATTTTCTCTAATAAATTTGAACTCATCAATATAATTAATATTTCAAAAACCTTAATCATTGCAGTTCATTGGCTAGCAGCTGAAATGAAAAATAGTAAACGACATGCGATTTACAGTTATTAAGTACCAACTTGCTTTCTTGACGGTTTCGTGAACATTTAACAGCCGTGTATGAAAAATATTTCGAATTTGGTGCTCTATAATTTTTTTTTTAAATTTTATTTCTATAATTTTTTTTAAATATTAATAAAACAATTTTCTATTCTATTACGTACTTTTTTTTATAGAAATTTAAATTTTGTTTAATTGAAATTTACAGCAAATAAGATCAATTATGAAAGTTATGAAAATGATTATGAAACAAGAAAAGACGTTAACTACAGCTGTATCAAGGCTCTAATAACCTTCACAAATAGAATTAATTTGATTTTGTTCTGTCAGTTTGTATGACAACTGTATGTTACGGTGTTCCGATTTGAACAATATATTCCGAGATTGTAACGTTACAGTAGACAGTGATTCATGTTAATTTTCGAGAAGAAATCTTCACAAATAAAAAAGTTTTCCATAAAAGGACTTGATTTGCACGGATCGTTCGTATGGCAATGTTGGGAAATTGTAACGTTGCCTTCGACAATAATTCATTCCAAATTTCATGAAGAAATATTCCCAAATAAAAAAGTTTTCTATAGAAGGACTTAATGTCCACGGATCAGTTTGTATGGCAACCGTATGCTACAGTGGTTCGTTCTGAACAATATGTTCGGTAATTGTAATGTTAGCGTGGACAACAATTCATGTCAATTTTCGTGAAGAAATCTTTTCAAATAAAAAAGTTTTCTATACAAAGACTTGATTTGCCCAGATCTGTTTGTATGACAGATATTGTAGAGACAGACATGGTTAAATTGGTAAACCATATATATTTTATCTAAATATAAGCTGTTCAGGGTATAACAATATTATTGGCTAAAAATATTTTAAAAAAGCAAAAAATAAAAAATAAAACTTTTTTCTATTATTATTTACATGTTCAGAATTAAAAATAATTTGATTTACTTCAAATTTTCTTTTTCGAAATTTCACATCATTTAAAAATCGTCGACAAATTGTAAAACATTTCTCTGTATTATTTTTATTTCATTTGATTATAATTATTAAAAAAATTAAATTATTAAAAAAAATGAATTGAAATGTCTGCTTCAAATTCAAATTTTTTAATAAGAAAATAATTGAATAATCAAAAAACAAACTTAAATTACTTTATGAATGATGCAGGAAATCAAAATATTGATTTGAAATTGAACTAGCTTGTAAATAATGACTAACGTTGTAAATACGCCAAAAGTAGCGTGTTTTATTTAAAACTGGAAACCTCTAATGCTAAAAACTTACTTGAATATTGTTAAAATACGCACTTTTTACTAGACTTTAATTTGAAGCAACTTTATTTTTTCTTTGTTGTTGTTGCTGTCGCGCTTTAGAATAACGCTTATCGGCAGAAATATACTTGTATGCCTGAGATGGGAGGAAACTTCTCAGATTGGTATAAAACAGAATTTTCTTACAGTTTTTTTCGAAATCGCACTATGAAGTTCGTATTTTATATACATATATTATATATCGTTCTAACACACACACAAAGATATTCGAGCACGAACCAAAACTCTGCGCTGTTCTATACTACTAAAATTATTTTGACAACTGCTAAATTATAACCTGAAGTCCTGAAAAGTTCATATTTTTTCAAAGTGCTAAAAAAATTTCTTTTTGAAAGTTCTGAAAAGTTTATATTTTTTGAAAGTTCTAAAAAATTCATATTTTTTCAAGGTTCTGAAAAATTCATACATCTGTTATTTGTAGCCCTTACTCTTCAGTGGAAGTTACAGAAAATGTTGTTGTTCGCAACAGCTTCAACTAATTTAAAAATCCACTATTTAAGCAAATTGCTTTCAGTGCCAAATGTTAAAGTGCTAAAACGCCATTATGATTTAACAGAAAATGTTAAGCAAATAATGATGTCGCATGAGCCAAAGAAAAAAATATTAAATAAGACATTGCATTTTTTTTTTTGTAATAATATTTTAAATTTTTATTTTAAAAATTAGCTTAAATCCTCTTTTCAAAAGATTTAATTTTTTTTTTTGTTGTTTTCTTTTGTATTTACTTTTCATTTGATGATTTTTGTTCTTCAAAGTTTTTTTTGTTATCATATTCTTTTAACTTCACCTCTTTTTTACCATTTTTTCAATTTTTTTCTTGTTGCTTGTGTTTTTGTAAACATTTTCATCTTTTATAAAGTATCATATATATATGTATAGTTGGGGGAGTTTTTCCATTTTTCTTTAATTGCAAAATGTATGTTTTATGTTCAATGAATGAATACAAAATGGAAAAACTAAAAAAAGTAGACCTAGAGAAATTAGGCAATCGTAGTTGGGCGGCATATAATGCGCCCAAATAAAGTTTGTGTGAAGGGATAGTAGTAGGGGAGGGCAAGGAAGGGAAGTGTAGCAACTTTTGTTTATGGGTAGCTCATTCAATTGTTGTATGTTTATATATATACTAGGTATAATTGTGTAAGGAGGTATGAAAGCGGTGACAGCACATTAGTTTCCGAGACTCATTTCTTGGACTACTGTGTGTTATTTTCAACGTTTGCGATCGCGCAGCTGCTGCAGAAACCGTAGAGGCATTTGTTGGCAGCAGTGGCTGGTGCAGTTGCTTCCTCTCATGTTCCTTTTTTTAACGTTTTGCTACAATTATAACTATTTGTGTTTGAAATAACTGCCGGAAAATGCTAAAAAAAAAAAGTTGTGTATTAAATGCGAATTTTAAACTAAAGTAGCATTTTTCGCTGCAAATCAATATTTGTTGTAGTAATTTGCTATGTTGAATTGCGTTTTTGTTCTGTTTTGTTTACTGACGTTCTAACGCAATTTAAGTATTCTCAAATCATAATTCTTGCATTTTTGAATTTTCTGTAAATTGTTTTATGTACTATTTTTATACGATGTATGATTGTATGTTGTATAATTGATATTGTTCGCTTTCTTTTCTCGTTTCGTAACTCATGAACAGTAAAAAAGTGAACATAGCAAATTCAAAAAAAAAAGGAACAACATATGGAAAAAAAAGTTGACAGGTATTTTGCAAACGTATGCAGTACTTCTTGTTCTTGTTCTAGTTGGGTTGGTAGTTTGATAAATTTTTCGCTGTTGTTGTTAGCTGTTAAAAGAGGTGGTACTGATGTTTTTGTTGCTGTTGTTGGCTGATGTAGCTTAGAAGTTATTCATATGTTTTCTTATAACAAAAATTTCTTTTATACATTGGCTGCACAACATACAGCGATCAATTCAACTCCTTGTCTTCTAAGTACTTGTATTCAAAAGTGAATCCCTCCTTTTTGCGTTGACTCCATTTCTCGTAATCAAAATAGATGTACGTACCCTATAGTAATTGGTAAAACTTTAAATTAGCGTTTTCAAATAAATAAAAATCAAAAATTCAAACACGAAATATTGTTGCAAATTATAATGCCATATCAAACTTGACTTGGACTGGTCCATTTAAACTACGCGCGTCAACCGAAATGATAAAAAAAAATTAAATTAAATT